ATAAAGTGACGTCTAATGAGGAATTGGAAATTCCTACTCAATTTCAATTTCCGAGAACTTATAAAGCCCGGTCCGTGGAAAGTTGTGGTCCCTAAAGTATCATGTATTTTATCGAAAGAGTGGAAGAGCTGCGCAAAGCGAGATATGTGTCTGAGAGTTAGCTTTTTGATTCTGCATTAGATTTATTAGAGGGGACGCTAGGTTGTGGTATAGGTCAATCGCAACGAGCTACCATCATTATTGTGCCTCCCGACTATAGGCCAACACTTTTTTCCCATTTACTCTTCTTGTATGAATACTTTATTCCCCGGTATGGTGACATGACATTCAACTTGATATCTTGGTGAGGAACCTAGTTCCGTATTATACCATGCAATTGCCGGTGATCAAATCACTAACCGCATTGGTGCCATTTTGAGCCACGAAAAAAAAATTGTCTCAGATCGACCGGGAAAAAACATTTTCTTATAGATTGTGGCCTGTAGAATCCATAATTTCAAACAGTGCCAAGATTGGGCTACTGGTTCAAAAGTTACAGCCCTTTGAATTTTCTTTCGAAATTGGTTTCTAGTCTATAACTTTTGATTGAGAAGTCTAATCGAAAAAGTACGAAGTGTTTTGGATTCTACGCACCAAAATTAGTAAGAAAAAGTGTTTTCCCGAGAAATTTTGGTGTAGTCGATTTTTGGTAAAAAAGGAAGGTTATGCACTGCCTTTTTTTGAGGCCCGAAAAGAAAAATTGTCTCAGATCGACCGGGAAAAAACACTTCCTTATAGATTGTGGCCTGTAGAATCCATAATTTCAAACAGTTCCAAGATTGGGTTACTGGTTCAAAAGTTACGGCCCTTTGAATTTTCCTTCGAAATTGGTTTCTAGTCTATAACTTTTGATTGGGAAGTCTAATCGAAAAAGTACGAATTGTTTTGGATTCTACGCACCAAAATTAATAAGAAAAAGTGTTTTCCCGAGAAATTTTGGTGCAGTCGATTTTTGGTAAAAAAGGAAGGTTATACACTGCCTTTTTTTGAGTCCCGAAAAAAAAATTGTCTCAGATCGACCGGGAAAAATCATTTTCTTATAAATTGTGGCCTGTAGAATCCATAATTTCAAAACAGTTCCAAGATTGGGCTCCGGTTCAAAAGTTACAGCCCTTTGAATTTTCTTTCGAAATTGGTTTCTAGTCTATAACTTTTGATTGAGAAGGGCGATAATTATCGTGCACCATCTGTCTTGTGTGGTTACCCCTGTTATTTCTGGTTTTATTGAGTGCGTTGAGTTTGAGGACAGGGTCTAACTCTAATGAGGTAAATTGCAGGAATTACCTGAAAAATGGTTACCTTGCTAGAGTCTGTCATACACCGCTCGGGAAGCACTGTTTTAAATGTGGTGATCTTGATGATACAATTCGGGAATGTTCTCGCTGCCGATCTAGTTCAAAAAACGAGTAGTGGAGGTCATCTCTGAGATTTCAAGAAGGCAATCGGGTCAAATGTTTACTAGATACTAGTCCGAGTTGCCAGATATTACTGTTGCAAATCGCCAGTCATGTGCGTATGTGGAGTTCTGCGAGTTCCGATTAAACTGAATGTAGTTGTGCCAATCTTGGGTCAATTTTTAATATTGGGGCTGGATTTCTGAACTCAGATGGGAATTGTGCCGAATCTAAGGGCAAAGGAGTGAAAATTTACGGCTGAGGGAGAAGTCGAAGTGAATTCATGAGAAACCGTGTACTGGAAACAAAACCTGGATCATGAGGAACGTAGACTATGTGAGACTCTTGAGAGTTATGCCAGCGTCTTTTAGTTGTACAGACTTAGTTTAGCATGAAATTCAACCCATCAAATAGCGACATTAT